TCCCCCAGCTCCTCCTCCCCTTCCTCCCCCTCCTCCTCCTCCTTTTCCAGCCAGCTGAGCGACGAAAAGAGGCGGGTCTTACGCACGATGACATAGCGACCCTACGCGGCACGCTACGTTGGAAACGAGGGCACTCTCGCGACATCTTACGCGGGCAGCTATCGCGCGAATGTCTGCGCAGTCGCCCCCTCTCTCTTCCGGCGGTGATCAATGGCATGGTGGAAGCGGGCCCTGGGGGAAGCGGGTCCGCTGGACTGGGTGGCCTTCTCCTCAGGAACCAGCTCTTCATCCCGCGGTCGTATTTGGACGGTCCTGGAGCCTGGGGAGGGGCCCTGAAGCCCGAAAACGGTCCGAGAGCTTTTTGCGCAGACGCGCCACTGATCGGGCTGCCAACGAAGGGTGCCAGCGCAGAGACTGATCACCGCCCTCACGGCTCATGACGCATAATTCAAGGCTGCATTCGCTATGAAGCATCGCTCATCAGGCTGACGCGTCAGTCGATACTTCGGGCACGCAAACACTCAGGGATCCCAAAACGGTGTGGTGACGGACCGCGCGGTAACCAACCTCCTCACCGCGCGGTCCGTCACCGCACGTGTTTGGGGATCCCGGAGGCCCCAGTCGCCCGAGACGTCCTCGGAGGAACGCCCCGAGTCCCAGAATCGTGCGGCGACCCCGAGCCCCCACGGACTCCCCACGCGGCGTGGTCACCGCGCAGGGCGGGGGCGCCTGTACACTCTGGGCAGGCGAGGACCGTCAGGATCGCCACCTGCGGGCTGTTTCCGCCGGGCAGCGCTCTGGCCGCCTTCGCGCCGCGCCCCTGCAGGGGCCCCGCCGCCGCCGCCTGCCCCGACCCGGGGCGGGGTCGGCCGCCTAAAGGGGGCCCCCAGGCCGCCCCGCTGGGTCGGGAGGCGGGGCTGGACGTCTCGTGTCGCTTCGTTTCGTGGGCGTCCCGCGGCCGGTGGGCACCAGGCCCCGACGCCGCCGGGCTGAGCTGGGCTGCAAGCGGCGGCCGAGCGATTATCATAAGCCCCCAGACCAGGCCGGCGACGATACTGGTTCCACGTTGGCCCTGCGTCATGCTGCCAACTTCTTGAGCCCAGACGGCTACGGATCCGTGCAGTCCCTGCCTGCCCGAGCGCCCTCCCGACTGAGGAGCAGACCCCCCTGGGCCGTGTGCCCCCAGACCAGGTGGAGGGGTAATGAAGCTCTTCGCCGTGCAAGCCGCGCTGTGGAAGCTCATCCATCCGGGAGTGACTTTGATCAGGCTGGCTTGGGTCTCCTCCTCCTCCTCCTCCTCCTCCTCCTCCTCCTCCTCCTCCTCCTGCTACTCCTGCTACTCCTGCTCCTCCACCTCCTCATCCTTCTCCTCGTCCTCCTCCTCGTCCTCCTCCTCCTCCGCCGCCTCCTCCTCCTCCTTTTCCTCCTCCTCCTCCTCCTCCCTCTCGGCTTGGGCGGCGGCGGTCACCGAGAAGGGCAGGCGGCCGGACGGGCGGGGCGGGGGCGGGGCGGAGAGGGCCGGGGCTGGGAGGGCGGGGCGCCGCGGTGGATGCCCAGCGCGCGGGCGGGCGGCGGCGGCGAGGGTCGAGGCTCGAGGGTGGATCAAGGTCGCTCGGGAGGAAGGCTCGATGCTGTCGGGCACGCTCGTCTTTTCTCCTCCTCCTCCTCCTCCTACCTACTCTCTCCTACTCCTCCTCCTCCTCCTCCTAATCCTCCTCTTCCTCTACTTCTGTCTGCCTCTTCTCCTCCTCTCCTCCTCCCTCCGCCTCCTCCTCCTCCTCCTCCTCCTCCTCCTCCTCCTCCTCCTCCTCCTCCTCCTCCTCCTCCTCGCTCGGGATGACAGATCGATGCTGTCGGGCACGCTCGTCTTTTCTCGATAGTTTTTCAACCTCGGGATGCTCTCCAGCGGCAGGATGTCCACCCAAGGGCCTTCTCTTGCGGAGCGCAGTGGGGCCGCCCCACCGGCACTCCCGCTGATAGGGGGCGAGGAGGAGAATCAGAGCGAGGGAGCCGAACGGTCCTGCAGTGGGGGCCCGATCACAGGAGACCGTCCGCGAGAAGCCCAACCCTGAGGCCCCAGGACGTCCGTGGAGTGCTGGTGCGGGCACGTCGCGCTGGCCATCGCGAGACCATCGAGACCCAAGTGACCCCGGGCACCCTGGAGGCTTGGCGATTGCGGTTTTTGGCGGTTGGGAGGAGGAGGAGGAGGAGAAGGAGAAGGAGGAGGAGGAGGAGGAGGAAGAGGAGGAGACGAGGCTGGAGCAAGCAGGGTGTTTCTTTTTGTTGTTCGATTGGCGGTGCACTTTAGTTTCGCAAGGCGCTGCCCTCCGCTGCCATCAGCGCGCCGAGGTCACGAGGCTCAACCGACACCATCCCCCGTGCAAGGAGAGGACAGTGGCTCATGATAGGCAAGCAGGGCGTTTCCTGGCACGGGCCCCCACCGTGCACTGTCCCTGGGCGTGCACTGTCCCTGGGCGCGTGGCGAGGACGGCTGCGATGC